AAGGTTTCTAGATACCACTGCTTCTCCTTCAACCGCTGCTGCTGCTTTTCCAGATGGCTTCTTGTAGCCTCCAGCTTGTGGTATTCCTGACTCAGTTGCTGCAATTCCTTCCGTAGCTGCTGGTTCTCCCTGTGGAGGCCACTGCAGAACTCAAAGTGAGCCTGCTTGGCTGCCCGCGCCAAGGCCTGGTACTTCCCAGTAAGCTCCCTGGTGTCGACCCGCCCCAGCTCCATGCTGTGTAAGTCTTCCAGTTGTTCCTCCATCAGAGCCTTCTCTCGCAGGAACTGCAAGTGTGCCTCCTGGTCCTTGGCAGCGGTCTCACCTCGGATTTTCTCTTTCTCCTTCTCTAAGGCCTGCATTTTCTTGTCCTGCCTCTCCTTTACGATGTAAACGGGCTTCAGTGTCTGCAACCGCTGCTTCAACTCGGACAGGGTCTTTCCGCCCCGGGAGAGCTGGGCTTGAAGGTCTGCCCTTCCCTGGCTGTATCTGGCGGCTAATTCCTGTCTCCTCTGTTGCATCTCTTCACATTCTTGGAAACGCCGCTGCCACAGCTCCTCCTGTCTCTGTCTACACTGCGCGTTCCTCCTGCACAGGTGTTCCATGAAAAGCTGGTTTTCAGCCTGAACGCGGGATTTCTCCTCCAGCAGCTGCCAGCCGTCCTCCAGCAGCCCTTCCCGCCGGCTGTGCGTTTCTTCTATTTGCCGAGTCAGCTCCTCCAGAGCCAGCACCATCTTCCTTTTCACCCTTTTCTCCAACCTCGTTAGCAAGCCTGGCTTGAAATATGTATTTAGAATAGTAAGATAAGGTGTGGGCGGAGGGGAAGTTCCGGGGCTCAGGGCAAACATGCTCCCCAAATCCAAGCACCCACGAAGGTAGATCTGTGCAGGTCAGAGAGGGTGACTGCCCGGGAGCAAGCGCTGGTGGCAGGCGTCACTCCAGGGCACAGCGTCCCAGAGCGGAAGTTCCCGTGGTTTCTCCCTCCAGTGGTCAAGGGGACGTGGCTGTGCCCAGCTGGCCAGGAGGTGGCACTCTGCATGGGAACCACAGCCCTGAGCAGCAGCAGGCCGCGGATGTCCAGCCTGAGACTGGCGGGCTCTCTGGGACTCACAGGGAGCCCAGGGCTCCTAGGTCCAAGTCCTGTCCTGGGGACCAGGGCTCTGCCCCTCCCAGTCCCTACCCGAGGGGTCAGCGCTCTCTTCTGGACTCTCACAACCTTCCTTTACCTGCTCCGCACCTGAGTTCCCAGCACCATCTCTAGTTGGCCTAGCCTCGGCAACCCGCCCTTCACCCTTGCACTGGGTTGGGTCCAGTGGATGGATGGGCTCTCCAGACAATTGCAGGTGGAAGACCGCAGAGGTCTCCTTAGCCAGGACTCTATGGTGCCGTGGGCAGGTCTGGAGGAAAGAAGAGAGCATCCGTGACTGGGGGTGGGTTATTTGAGACTCGAGTTTCCAG